ACACACACACCACACACCCATACCCCACCCCACCCCTCCTGCTGTCATAGATCATTGATCTTTTCTGGAACAACTTGCTGCTTGCACCCTCTGCTCTTTTCAAGTCAATAGGACAGCTGATTATAAGACATGACAGGTGTCCCCTTAAAGTCATTTATGTGTGGGACAAGAAACACTTTTATAAATATAAAGTAATTTTGGCTATTTAGAAGGGCACTACCCCATAAAGGGCAAAAAAAACTTTAAGTTTTGTAGGTCACCTCAAAACTTTTTTGCTATGTACTATAAATGTTTTAAAATACAAAACGGTGGAAAAAATATTACTGATCTGTTTTTCCTCTTGATGGTCTGCTATTTTATCAGCCTCTCAGGAGTGCTAATCACTGCTCAGAATGTCACTGTTCCAAGTGTAGAAATTGAACAAAACATTTTAAATCAATATAAATGACAATGTGTTCTCACGTGCAATGTACCTACATGTGCCTTCAAGTGTTTTCAAAGCGCATTCATTTTCCAAGGCAGTGTTAAATGAGTTTCTAATAACTACAGGGACACTTTGAATTGTGTTTGTAACTTATGTTTGCAGTTTGTTGTAGTTTTCACTTGAGAAGAATATTGGATTAAAATATTCACTTTATAATAAAGTAATTTGCTCAACTTTTTTGGACTGAAGAAAACTTTATGAAACTTGTGAATTTTCAAGGCCATCTTTGGTCAAATCATTCCCATGAATATAAGTTTTGATAGCTGAAACATTTAGGAGCAATGAATGCAGTAACAGTAACAGTTATTTAGAGATTCACTTGTTAAATTGTTTTAATTTTTTTTCTGCTAGACAGGTGTCATCTTAATGCCTAAATGTAACTTAATGTAAAACATACTGCACACTTATAAAAATAATGGTCGGATAAAGAAATCCCATCCTTAATATGAGTCAGAGGTGGCATGGAAGTAAAGCAAACAAACATCACATGTCCTTGTTTTATGCATTTATCTTTTTTATTGGTATTGCTCTTAACCCGGGTCTTAAAGGGGCTGAGACCATTTTAACAATGACTGTTACTGTGTGTATGTTGTACAATATAATACTATAGGTCAATGAGGTCAACCTTTGACAAAGCACTGTGAGGAACATCCATCACATGTTCACTTTACATTTAGGCCCCCCACTTAATGAGCCTTCAAAGTAAAAGAATATGAATTATTCTGACACGATAGCAATGGCCTCTCCGTATAAAAAGAGGCCATAATAACAACAACAACAACAACATCTCAAACAATAATTTGCCCTCTTGTCTGACAAAAGAGCCAGCATGAAGGTGCCATTTGATGTGTCCCACGCTGGGCAGCTAAGGCTCATAAAACAAAATCTTTGTACCAGTGGCTCAGAGTTCAGATGAGGGGGACAATATACACACTTGATTACATTTTGTCAAAAGGCGCAATGAAATGTGTGTGGGACATTGTTTCTGTGCATGTCTCCCTCCATGGAATTTCTGATTGCCGATGTTGCTACAAGGTCTCTGCTAATGAGTTTTGTCAAAGACAATTATGGACTTGGTGGAATGGCCAGAGAGGGGATGAAAAGCTGGCTTTGTGCGGTTTGGGTGGATGTTGCATTGCGACCCCTGCTTCCTTCTATACCCTGTGTTTGACCTGCACAGTTCATATCAGAAAGAATCCAGGCCTACGTTCCGTCGCTGGTGCTGTGCTCGAGGCAGAGTGATCTGCTCCAGCACCTTTGCCCTTTCCATATTAGTTCCCAACTAAGACCCAGATCTCAATGTGCCAGGCTGGAGCATGGCACGAAGTGATGTTAGTGTTGCCATTTCCCAGGGCCTTGTTACTCTTATTAGACCTCACTCTCTCCTTGGAGTCTTCTCTGGTCTGTTAAGTTTGGGAATAAAGAATTGAAACCAAATTCTGAGTTTCTTCTTTTTTGCCTCCCATGTCAGATCACTGACAATATGTTACTTCCTATTTGTGGATGGGGTGGCTAGCCCCTGGCTCAAGTGAAACTACAGTATGAAGAGTCACCCTGTATTAAAGCTTTAAATCTTTGCTTTCATGGCTTCTGCTG